CATTATATTTATATTCATAGCTGTGGTTATTTTTCAATAGCAACCATGCAAGCTCCTTGTGGCAAGCAGAAACCTGAATATTACTATCACAGTAAGTCACAGATTGTTTACGCAGCAGGTATAAGCGGGCAACTTATTCAGACTTTGTTGCTATTCACAATTTGACCACAACTGCCGCGAGAAACGCCTTCACAGAGCTTATAATTGGGTAACATGGGTTGGACATGTTGTAGGAGTCTCGTAGAGCTGTGGCTTATCACACAAATGGGGCAAGTCTGTGACGCAGCATGAAGTTCTATTTTGAAAACAAGTAGTCGCACACAAAATGAGAATGCCGAATGCGACGAATTACTATCGATTGTCTGCATATCCAATATCTCCTATATAATGAAGGTGACAAATATAAAATATCTAATCTAATTATCTAAATGTAACCTAATTGATTTCTAATTGTGCAAACTATCGCTTGTAAGCTTGATAGATGTTTGACTGCATTTCTCTCTCTTTATCTTTTTCTGTCTTTCTCCTTCTTTCCCTCTTTCTCGCTTTCTGTATTTCTTTCTTCTTCTATTCCTCTTTTTCTATTTCTCTCTCTTTTCCTCTTTCTCTCTTTTCTCGTTCTCTCTCCCTCTTTCTCTTTCTCTCTTTTTCTCTCTCTATCTATTTTTTTCTCTTTCTCTCTTTCATTTGCTCTCCTTTCTCTTTTTCTGTTTTTCTTTTTCTCTGTTTTTCTCTGTCTCTCTGTTTCTTTCTCTATCTCTCTTTTTCTCTCTCTCTTTATCTCTCCCTCTTTTCCTTCTTCTCTCTCTCTCTCTCTCTCTGTCTCTCTCCCTCTTTCACTCAAAGAGCAAACTCTTTCTTTGTCTCTTTTTCTCTCTCCCTCTATCTCTTTCTCTCTCCCTTTCGCTCTCTCTTTCTCTCTCCCTATTACCATCTTTCTCTCCTTCTCTCTCTCTCTCTTTCTTTCTCACTCTTCCTCTCTTTCACTCAAAGAGCGAACTCATTCTATCTCACTCACTCTCTCTCTCTCTTAAATATGCCCTGCTTATTCGTTGTTCTACAAGTTCCAAGCATGCATAATTGAGACTCTTGTAGACTTTTGTATTTCTCGGACACAGTGCAAACTGTATTTGCATTAACTTCTTCTTAAACTCAGCTTAAAATAACAATTGTGATGTACTCCATAGCATTAGGTGGGCGTTCTTGCTCTTGTGCATCTTATAGTTGCTCTATTCTCCGTTTTACTTTGCTCCTCATTTGCACTTAAAGTTACCAGCGAAAGGCAACGAAAACGAAGGGAACTGCGCGGTTTTAACAGCTTAGTGTTAATTCCCAAGGAACTCAAACTGTACGCAGCCAGCCATAGTTGCGTTAGAAAAACACACATACATACCCGCACACACGTATATATGCACATATACATATATATACATATATATATATATATATATACATATATACATATATATAACTAAGGGCATAAAGTGCCATTTCGCATGAGTAAGTTAAGCAAAATTAAAAAAAAAGAATGTGAATTGCAAGAAACTCGCATACGAACCGTCGCGTCTTGGATAAAATGAAATGCTGGCTACGTCCTGGCAAAAGGCAGGCAAGAGGCAACGCCACTGTGGCGCCTGAAGATTAAAGTGCAGCAAATTTAATTTTGCTTGTTGTTGAGGCAAGTGCGAAAACAAGTTTTTATGCCCTGCTACTCATTGCCTCTGGATAGCGAGAGAATAACAAATAGCTTAAATATTCTTAGCTTTCTAAAGAGAAACTGCTCAATGTGCTTATGCAGAGCTTTAAACATGGTTAAGATTAAGGAACCTTTAATTACACCTTTCCTATATGATCAGTGCATAACGCATCCAAGTCTTATTATTTATTATTTATTACAACACATTTTATATTAATCCAGATAAATTTCAACATTATCTGCTTTGATCATATCTTTCTCAATGCACTGAAGTTGTCCGTATTGTGGTCATATTGTGTATTATACAGTTAGTTAAAAATCTTTTGGCAGATGTGTATTTGCGTGCATTCACTCAGACACTCACACTGCATTTTGTTGATTGCTCAACACAAGAATTCATTCATTTAATTGAGAGTGAATACAGCTAACAGTGCCAGTGCCAGTGCCATTGCCATTGCCATTGCCTTTGGCATTGCTATTGCTATTGCTATTGCTATTGCACGCAAACTATCTCGTCTGCAGTTCCTTTTTGCCATTGTTGGCCGTTCCGTTATGTAGGCTGTGCCAGTTAGCTGGCCAACTGTTGGCTACGGCTCTGGCCACTTTTGGTTATTCATATTTCTAGCAATTACGCTCAACTCGTTGCACTGGGTTGGTTTTTGGCACATTTTTGCCACGAAATGTGCGTAGCTGTGGCAATATCTGTGTTTTGGTAGTCGGCGCTTTTAATTGCATTTGTGTGGTCTGTTGTGCAGCTCAAAGGATTTGCTTCACAATTGCCCACTGGACGCTATCGAAGGCTGTCTCACAGAAATTTAATAAAAAACTTCGCAGCCTGAGAGCTTTGTGTTTGTGAAACCTGCTTCACTAGGTTAAGAAATAAGCCTGAAGCTTGAGCTGACAAATTAAATATCAAAAGTCCTGTGGGACACTCGACTCAGTGGTCACTCAACATAAAGTCAAAAGGTTTGCTCTCCCCCACATAGAAAGGCACATCCACGCACACACACACAGACAAGTTGCCCGTTTACATGTACGCATCTGTGAGCTTGATCAAAGACAGCAAAAAATATATTAGTACCGTTATGGCCAAGACAATCTGGCTAAGAAGATGGTAGAATCAAAAAGGAGCAGCATGCTGTGCTGTTCAAAGGGTCCTCTAATGCGACACGGAGTCGGATTTGCCAACATTGCGTATACGCAACGTGCGTCTGTGTATTTATGCTTTGCCTCGCATTGTATAAGTAGATGGAAATGAACGAATTTGCCACTGATTACGCATCAACTGTCATGGGGTCTGCACTCTATACACACACACCCATACACACCCACGCACACTCTCAGACACCACAGACAACATAAGCAAATTTTCCTAATAAAAGTTTAACTCTGGGCTACTTGCAATTCCGTTGGGTGAACCTTCGAAATGGGCAAAATTCGAGTACAAGCAATATGTTTGTCATTCGTAGCTAGTTTCCGGGACGTGAGTGATACACAAGAACATGTCTGCCCATACACTCATAGCACTCAAAGTCAGATATATATGAACATACATTAGTCTTTGGGCAGAAATTCACAGAATGCTAAAATGCAAATGTAAATGCAAATGCTAATGAAATTTGCTTGTAATTAAAGGTGAAACACGTCAATGGCCATCAACCAATCATTTACTTATGTTATTTTATTCGACTGAATGCGCATTATTTGTGCCTGCTTCCATCACTACTTCGAATTAAGCTGTTTCCATATCTGATCTGTCCATTATCCCATTATTTTCTGTATTTGCTGTGCTTAGTGAAGTGTTAAAACCGCAAATAACAAATGATGTGGGCCGATGCTTATGTAATGAACATTGTTGAATTATTTATTTAAAATTTCATATGGGTTTGTGATGAGTGTGTGTAAGAGCATTTGACCACAGCTGTTCCATATGAATATGCAAAAGTAAAAAAATGGGCTGAGGCTGTCAAATGAATTCGCCTAAATTAAAAATCACCCCGATGGGCCTCACATGTGTGAGGTGCCATCTTACTGCCTCGTTTATTTACTATTCTGAAGAGTATTCAGTTAAATAACTTGCTTAACTTATTCTGATGACATTTTGTTTAAAGCTATATTTGAGACTCCGCTTTCGAGGGTTGCCAGCAGCTATTGCTTATAAAATCAACAGATGAAACATGCAAGATAAATATTTTCATAATTTTTATTGGCATCCAGTTAATCAATTTTAAAAATGCATTTATAAGTATAAACAATTACATAAGATAGTTAAGTAAAAAAAAATAAAATGGTTTTATAGGTTGCCTTCGAAAAGGATTTTAAGTCATGCAAAAGCTTTTACATGCCGTATATGTCTTGTATCTTTGTCTTATTTTTAGTAGTTGGAGTTGGAATTTTAGTTGGCAAATATTACATTTGCTTTATATGCTAATATGTTCACTCTTTGGCTGGCAACAAAAGCGTCTGCAAGTGGATGAATAATATAAAACATGGCTATTGTTGTGCAACACAGTAATGCAGAACAATTTCATAATAATAAATTCTCAAATCATGCTGCGAAAGTGTAAATAATATGCACACGCACAGACACATTGCAGCATTGATACATTTGAGCAAGGACACATACAAAAGGCTGTAAAATATTCATTCGCCTCAATAAACTGACAGGCTCTGAAAAGATGCTCTCCTCGAGAACAAAAAAGATTGAGACAAAAAGCGAGGAGCAAAAGAAGAAAAGCATTAGAGCGAAACGTGGCGAGTGAAAACATCAGCCACACAAAAGGAAAGAAAACTGCGCCAACTAACAGCAAATATGCATTAAAAATATTACAAGAAAACTCTCGGGGAGACTAAAGCTAGCCCTCATCTGGGAACGGAACGCTACAGCAATTATTGGACGCTGAGCAAATTCCAACTTAAAGCATAAAGTGTTAGTCGTATCCTAGTAGCCCAGAACGTCTTTATGTGCCGCCTCGACTGCTGCTGTCCCGGCTGGATAAGCAAATAAAATTGATTGGCAAAGTGTCGGACTGTGACAGTGGGCGGCGAAGGACTGTAAGGTCGGGGCGGGGCGGGGCGGTGCGGGGCGGTGCGTGCTATCACTGAAGCTAGTCTATGGGGCTTGGCACTCGTTATCAGCTGGCAATTTCATTATTTTAATGTGCTAAATGAATTATCAGTCGACCAGCGACCGCCTATCAAAACAAATGGCCTGCCCCGAGCTACATATATTGATTGACTGTCAACATGGGTGCACAGAAACACATACAGAACGGAGCATAGACCAAAAGTATTTTGAATTTCTTTATTTTTTCTGCATTATGTTCTGTAATAGCACTGTGTACTGCCCGCTGGCGCGTATCATCTGCAATTATCAGGCTTGTAAATGCTGGAGTACATACGAGTATTTGACAGAGCAAGCACTCACCGACATCAGGGTGGGCAGTGACATTTTGCTAAACCAGGATACATCCAGACTGAAGCACCGATTCGTGCGCATTATCATCATCCTGGTGAGTTGTCGAAATTCACGGCATTCCTCGTACCAAGTACACTGATAGAAGGCCATTGGAATGCGCTCGCTCTGCGATAAAAAAGGTTCAAAACCAACATAAAGAAGTTTCCCTGTCAAAAGGAACCCAATGAAAAAGGATGGTACCTACAGCTGTCGTGAAGCGCTGACCATTGTAGCAGTAGATGACAATTTGATAGCCACCGGCCGCGAGATACATCAGCATGCGTAGCGCTATGGTTAGGCTTGAGGCCTTTGTTTGAATAAAAAGCAAACAAATTATTTCAAATTAAACAGTAGAAAAACAGCTTTAGCAGTCTGGCACAACCGACTGCAAGATACTCTGTTCCCAGCTCATCACGGAGATTTTAAATAACAAATTTTTGTTACCAAAGACTTTAAATCACCGAGTTGTGACAGCGCCGGATGGACTTGACTTTTAGAGGGAATCGAGTATAAAAAATAAGAATATAATAACGCTTGGGGCTCACAATTCCAATGCTGATTTGAAAAAGCACCAAGCCCCAACAGAAGAGGCTGAGTATAAACTGGATAATGATAATTTGCCTAAAGGTGTCGTTGAGCTCTAATGCAAAGCTGCCAGTGAGAAAAAGAGAAAGAGAAACAGAGTGCGTGTGGGTATAAAGGCATATTACTTTAGTGTTTTTTAGGTTTTCAACACACGCTTCGACACGCTGATATTGATAGATGCAGTGCCGCAGATAGGGCACTCGACGTTCCTGTGGGATTAGTGGTGAGGTGGCGTACTCAATCATATGGGTGAGCGACTGCATGAGGCCCACGCCATGCATGCAGAGCACAATGAAGAGCACGTCAAAGCTAACGGCACCTGTTGCAAGTTCAATTTAGAATGTAGCTCTTTTCAGTGGCCATGCCACTTACCCATGCCGCAAATGTAGAGGTTGCAGCTTTCAAGGACCAGAGGCAGATAATAGTAAGGAAAGGACATGCCCTTGTCCATCCAGTTGGGATAGAACGACGGCAAAGCTGTACATAAAGCTTACTCCATTAACTAACTACAATTTATATGTAAAGCTACTGCACTTACGTAGCGCCACTTCAAAGTTGTTGTCGGATGCATTTAGGGCGTTATATATGTTGACGACTAGCGCATTGAAAAAGTAATTCACCAGGATGCCAATGCAGCTAAACAGGTAGAACATCAATTGCCGGCGCGTGCTGATCCAACTCTGATTCATGATGTCAGTCACACGCTGCTTCAATGGCTGCGCAATAGGAAGATCTGCAAGGTTACCAGATGAACATATAGTTTATGGCCAGTCAGTATGAGATAAGAATGTTAGAATGGAGTAATTCAGACCCGCGACAGCTGCGAATAGCTCGCATTTTTGCAGCAGCTCGTGTCGGCAGGCGAGACGAAGCTGCAAGTAGAATTTACTAGGAGCCACCAGATAGTAAACCATCTTCATAATGGACATCAGGGACTGGAAAATTGTGCTAATGCTCTGTGAAAATTAAAACAATTTGTATGCACCATTAAGGATATTAGGAGATATTAGACAACCTCTGAAAAGCGCGGAATGTCCTTCATGTTGTGAATGAAAAGCTGCCAGTGGCCATAGTAAGAAAGCAACGTGACGATTATCAGCAGCAGGCTCCAGCTGCAAAAACGCAACAGAGAAGACGATCTATAAGCAAGAGAGACAAATTGAATGTAGATTTGGCAACAGACAGCTTTAAGACGAAGTCCCAAGGACCAGGCTTCATTATGTTGTAGCCCATTGTGTATGTGACGCGTATCATCTCTCTAATCCGATGATAGTTGTGCTGCTCCAGAGCCTTCACTTCCAGTTCCGAATACATCTTGACTAATTACCAACTAACTGCTTGAGCTGGGCATTTATAAACTTATTAAGTGGGCGTGTCGAGTAATTTGATTAATTATGTAGCACTACGAACGGCCGAAATAATGAATATGAAGGTGTCACGCCCCATTACGTGTCGAGTTAAACTTAATTATTGAGGGAATAGTTTGGGTATTGAGGCAATTATTAGATTTATATAAACTATTTAAGTGCGAATGTAGAATTTTACAGGGGAGACTTGAAGAATCATTTGTCCTCGGATAAATATTTTCAATGGTTTTCGGTCCAAATCCGAAAGCTTTGAATGTAAATATTAAACAAACAGCATATCTGGAAAATTCATTTTTAATGGAATTAGATGTATTATGATTTCCTGTTTGTATCCAGCAACAATATATGTTCTTTTTGCAACAAAAAACTTGCTCAAAGTCAAACTGTTGCCAAAAGCATTAGATAATGATAGTATTTGAAGTACAAATATTTAAACTTGCCTTATAATTTGGAATAATCCATATTTCTAGCTGATATACAGATATCCTGATAATATTATAAAATTGGACGATAGCCAAGATATGGTTGTTGTACTAGATTAAAGATGGAAAAAGATGTTCGAAATGGTTGTTGTAAGACATAAAAGGTGGAATGAGATTCTTTAAACGGTTGCTGTACTAGATAAAAGATGGAATGGTAAGCTTGAAAAGGTTGATGTACTAGATTGATAGTGAAATGAGTAATTTGAACTGGTTGTTGGACTAGATAAAAGCTGACTAAAGTATTTTGCAGCAAGCTGACAACCCTTAACTCGTCGATGCTTTATAGCCAACAATCTGCGAAATACCGAAGGTTTTGCTTGCTTAAATCATGCCCTCTTAAAGTTTCCTTTTAGAAAAACAGAAGTTGTTGAAATTTTCCGCAATGATTTATATATTTCCATGATATTTCGCTCAATATAATTTTAATATGTTTTAATAAATTTGTTCTTGTTTGTTCAACGATTTAGCTCTTGATTTTGTTTTTGTTTATGGTTTTCACATTTGCTGATTTTCAATTGTCGCTGACAGACTACTTTAAAATGTACATATCATGTACTAATAATTTAAATATAATAATTAATATTACATAATAACATTTTGCCTTGTTGCTTGCTTGCATTTGCAGTTGCAGTTTGCAGCTTGTCAATTTTAACGCTAATGCTGCAGCTCTTAAAAAATAATTTAGAAAAATAGTAACAATTTTAAACCGAAACGATTTCTTGTATAAAAAATTGCAGTGCCATTTGGTTTTTAAATACACTTATATATTTTTTTTTTTTGCATATTTGGTTGTAAATAAAGACTTTGAAACGGCGCGATTTTGAGTGCTTTGTGTGAAATAAATATTTACAAAAGTTTCTTCCTCGTTATGCTTTTTAAATTACAAATTTCAAATTACAAAATACAAAATACAAATTATAAATTATAAATTACAAATTAAGTGGAATGTGGCCAGAGCTCACCAGAAATCTTATAAAACATTCCCAATCTTGAAGCATTTAGCTATAATTCATCTCATTTTGGTTTTCTCTTTAATCATATAAGCATTTACTTAAATTGAAATTTGTTGGCTTTACTTTAATAGAGTTTTTCGTACTTCTCTTAAGTTTGCGTTATCTCTTAGGGTCTTAAGTTGAAAAAGCGGACTTTGAGAATTTTGGCTTCTCATAATAAAAGTTCTTTGTGAATTTACAGTGTATGTGTCAGTGAGAGTTAGTGAGTGTGTGGGTGTGTGTGAGTGTGTGTGTGAGAGTGAGTGAGTTCGTATTCTTTTACTGATATGTTTCTAAGAGGCTAAATTTGCATTTGATTTATCTTTATCCAATTTGTCGCTCTCTGCAGGCATTATATTATTCTTGTAAGGTTCTTAAGACTCGTAAAATGACTTTTTATATGTCTGACAACCAATCGAACCTAACAAAAAAGATGTTGGACACATCGACACATCGAGGCCTTAAATATCCAGTTTCTCGTTACGTTAATAGCTTATTAAATGTAATTAAATTTATTTTATTTTTTTCTTTTATGTTTTTCATTCTTGAATTTTGTTTCGACAATGGCCAGTGGTTTATTATATGTTTACATTGTATCTGAATAATTGTTAAATATTTAATAAATGCTTGAATTTATTGGTTAAGCATAAAAGTTTGCTTGCATTAATACTTTCTCATTATTATTATTTGTATCTTTATATTTATTTATTCGACTGCTGACCTTGCGATTTGCCTACAGAATATTATCAAATGCGAATTCAATAAACTTTACCATCTTTCACACTCTGCAATCATATCATACCATTCTCAAATACCAATTAACAATATCAATACACACGATTTGGAATGTATCTTTTCTTTTCTATTCTTTGGTTTTCTTGGACACAACTTAGAAGCGGGGCTCACATGGAAACACACAATCATATGATACTTGAATAATTGACTAAATATTTTGATGGGGTTAATTGGGAAGTAGTTTTATATACCGCAATCCATAAAGGAAACTGAATAACTCTCAAACATCGCTCATATTTTATATTATATTGCTTATTCAACAAAGTAAAGGAGAAACAGAAAGAAAATCGCAGAAACCCCGTTTGCTCAATTCTAATTCTAAATACTTATATATGGAACTAAGAGACACGACTAAATACTTAGGTACGACTTATATGACATTACGAATATCTTTTGTAACTTTTGAAGTACTTGTTTAACTTTGAACTAACACACGGGACGCACACACATTTCCAATTAGCTGAGACGCACAAATATCACTATGCAATATCTCAACAGCAAAAACAATAAAAACCAAACGCAGAACCAACTAAGCTACTTTGTAAATAAGGAGGAGTTTTCAAATGTCATTTCATGTTTAACGTTCACAACAACAGCAAAACAAACTTATCAATCAATTACGTACATCTCATAGCTATACTACGTTAGCCGTCATAATTCTAGATGGGCGCAAAGCACAAATAAACAGACTATGTGAATCTCTTTCCTACGTTGCCAGCACAAAAGGGGTAAAAGGAATCGACTGGGAGATGCCACTTACACGGGGACACTCAATCAAGTCTTTGGATTAAGTGACCAGGTGACCAGAATATAAATATTTATGTGAACGGAACGGACAACAAACAATACTCTCACTTAGTGTATAGTTTTAGCTGTTAGTACAGTAAGGATAGTCACCAATTTGAACTGTTAATATGACACTTCTGGAGACGGACAGACAGATTGACGAACAGACGAAGATGAGTCGACTAGTGATCCTTATCTCGAATATATGTATCTGGCATGCATGTATAGAAACAGAACTATGATATATATGGAAATACATTCGCAAGCTCTTCTTAAGTTTCTAGTGAATTTGTAACAATCCCATGGTTTCAGCTGACGGGGGAAAACAAAGCAATAACAAGAAGCCTTACCCTTATCCCTACAACACACATACAATTCTATATAAACGAACATTTGACGTAACGATTTTAACTACTTTGTTTTTCGAATTCTCTATCAATTTATCTAGCATGGTGTATATGGGTCTGTAATGTTATCATATACATATACATATGTATATATATATATTTTTTTTTAACGGTTTAATGTCTTTTGTGGCGTGCTTTAAGAAAAAATAGGATCTTATTCAAGTTAGTTGTTAGATGTAAATATGCCACGAACTATAGTTGCGATGAATGTATAAATATTATTGTATATGTATATGTACGTGTATATATACATAAGCTATATACATATATATATATACATATATGTTGCATTTAAAATATGAAATATGCTCTCTGTTTTAGGTTTCTTTTATACTTTACTCGACGGTATATTTTAGGCTTTTCTGGTGATTTCGTCAATATATTATATAAGCTGTAAGCTGTAAATAAATGTTGCCTTTACAATAAATTAGTTTAGCTTAGGGTCTATTTACAATACATGTAAAATGTATTTTGGTTTAGTATCTTTTTGGTATGTTTGCTGTAGGCTTTAATTATTAGGGCTTTCTTTGTTAGTTAATAAGATAGTTAAGTATTTATTAAATTTTGTACGGCATGCGCGGCATCGCAACAATTTGCAGGTTTGTGGGTTTCTTATGCATTTTTGTTGAGTATTTTTGCAGTATTTTACGGTATTTAGCGTATTAACGGATTCTCATACATAGTTAAAGATTTAGTTTCAGCTTGAGTTTGTAAAAATATTCAATTTCAACGCCATTCATCTCTGCAATTCAAATTAGACTAGGATACTGTTCATTGCTTTTATATAATTCACATTCCATTTTCGCTAACTTTGCTATCACTTTGAGTTTTTTCTTTGTATTTTGGTTTTTGTGTTGGATTTTCCATAGGTTTTTGTTTTTGGTTTATATAATACAATAACTACTAAGCGCTTTTCGTGTGAGTGTTGACTAATTGCTACGTAGCCCCACCACTGCCTTCGCCTCCTTCACTCTTGGCCGGCGCATCTGCATTTTGTGGCTGCAGAAGCGCTCGCTGCTCATCGTTCGCCTCGCTTTCACCCTCGCCCTCTCCTTCCATATCCGCTTGCGGCTCTCCAACGCCTTCGACTTTCTCCTGCGGCACATCCTGCTCTTGTGGCTGCCTAGCGGGTGATATGAAAGTCGTCTCGGAATCTGTGGATTTTGGGCAGAGAACAGAGTGTTAATATTCGTATTGTACACGTGGATACTCAAAGCACAGGTGCTACAGTAAATGCTGTACAGAAAGCTGTGTGTGTTTTGTGTAAGTGTGTGTGTGACAGTGTGTGGGTGTGTGTGTGATAGAAGTTTTATCTGGAGGCCAAATGCTACAGCTTCACATGAATATCAATAAATTTAAGTACAATATTCGCATGTGTGTGCGTAGATTACGGAAGTGGTGCAGAGCTGCTTGAGAAGTGGTCTACGACTCGGTGGTACGATTAGGTGGGTGCTGAAATGTTTTATTAACTGCGAGAGGATCCGTTGCTGGGGCATCTTGTGAGAATTGTAGCTAATTAATTTGCTCGCCTTGCCTGCATTTATGTGAGGTCCTTCAGTGTTTGTATAACTGTGTCTGTGAGTGGGTTTAGTGTGGGTAGTTCGGGTTATTCAGAATGCAGCATCGAAGACGGTTACTATGGAGCGAGCGGCGCGTTGATGATAGAGCGAGAGAGAATAGAACAGAATTGTTGTTGTTTTTTCACAGGTATTCACAGCCAAATGTCTGGATTACTCAGCGATGTACTCAATGAGAGTGATTGCCAATTATAATGCGAACGTGAACCTACCCAGACTGCTGTCCCTCGTCTGACTCGAATCGTAGCGCCCATCGATGGAGCCCGGCGCAGCGGTCGACGAGCGTGCGAGCACGGGCTTGACTTGCCGCAGAGCCTGCTCTTCGGGATATCGGGGCGTTTGGAACTTAGTTGGCTTCGATTGCAACGTCGCTGGTCCTGACCGTTGGTGCATTAGGCTGCGATGCCTAAGGGGTGGTGGGGATATAGACTTAGCTAAAACTGAATGAGGTAATTTATTCGGTGAGTAATCGCTGCCAGATTCGCCCTGAAATTACAATGCAATGACGTGTGAGTTTACATAGTCAACTTGTAGAGTTTATAGGGTTCTCATTACCATGACGGTGCCATTATCGGACACGCCCGACCCTGACATATTGTCCGCCAATAGACGCTCACTCTCAGGATCGGACAGCACGCGTGAGATATCAGACTTGTTTTTCAATATCGACTTGGAGCGCCTGTGGTGCTCCAGGTTCGGCGACGCGTCAATCGAGTCTATCGATGAAGAATGCTTGCTCTCAAATTTGGCTAAAAGCAACAACAAATATGGGGTAAATCACTGAAGTCCCTTCGATGCCAATGCTCACCTTTGGCGCCCGCATTTTGTATGCCGAACAAACGCTGATTGATCAGTTTGGTGGCAGTGGCTAGGCTCTTGCCCGGCATGAATGCCGAACGCTTCTTCTTGCTGCCAGCAGCACCAGCGACGGAGCTGCCACTGGACGACGATGGACCAGAGACGCCTCCTCCGTCCAAGCGCACGTTATCATCATACAGCTTAGTGTCCTCAAAGCGTGCACGTGGCTTGCTGCTGGGTTGCGGGCTGGGCCGCATTGCCGTGAAGCTCTGCTGGAAACGCGTCTTGCGATGCTTTGGCACTGAGTTCTCGTTCAAGCTGACACGGCTGCCACGCTCCTGGACATCGAAGTTTTGGTAGACATCGTCCAGAGGACTGATGCCACCCGCGGCCAAGTTCCGCAGTGCCGTGTCGCCCGATGCGCTCTTCTTCACCTGGGCACGCATGGACAGACCGGAGGAGGAGATAGTGGGCGGCAGGCCCACAATGAAGCCCGTTGAGCTGCTGATGTGTGTGCCCCGGCAAGACTCCTTTTCCAGCGGATTTATGTACAGATTGTCCATATCAATGTCCAAGGCACAAGCCTCGTCATTGAAGTCGGCTGTGAGATCACCTTGCGAGAGGAATGGATGTGTCTGGCAACTGGCGTATGTGTCCGAGCTGTCCACGCTGGCCAAATCAGCATTGTTGTTGTTGTTGTTGTTGCTGTTGCTGCCGCTGGCCCCATAGTTGCCATTGCCAAACAGCAGCAAGCCATTGGCTACGCCACCAGCGCCCACAGTCGTCGTGTTGAAGTTGTTATTGTAGTTGTGATTGAAATTGCTGGCAATGGGCGCTCCATAGCGCTGCGTTCCATCCAGCGGCAAAGCAATGGTCGTGGACGTGGTCGTGCCATACGAAGACGACGTCGACGATGACTGTGAAATGATGGGTATCATGCTGGCGCTAGTATACACTGGCACTAGAGACTGTGGAGCAGCAACAGTCGCTAGCAAGCCGAACTGATTGGCCTGACGATTGGCTGCGGCTTGGCGCATCTCCTGGCAAATGGGCTTGTGGAAGTCGGAAGTTGGAAGCGAGATGACGCCCTCCGCATCAGTGTATTCCTTAAAGTCCTGCAAGGCAAAAAGGGAGCGGACATGCCATGATATAAAAATAATATTAGGTCAAGACCCGGCGGTCACGCCCAGTACCTCAGTTGCGGTGGTTAATAAGTAAAGAGAGGTGCACTTGAACATTGCTGAAAAGTTGTTGCTTTGTTGTTTCTGAAGAGTATTCAACATGCAACTAAGATGCATCAAGTTAAAGTCAAACGTGCAGCGTTGGATTTCGAATTTAGTTTGTATTAAATGTATTCAAAAAAAAAAACACTAAAGTGAAATAAAAATAAAAAAAAAAGACAGAAAACATCTCTTCTTACTTACCCGAACTTCATAAGCACAACTGAGCTCATCCAGCTCTCAAATATTCATAAGGAGAAATAATAATAGTTCTAAGTGAAACCAAAAATCGTATTGAATAGTTTACGAATCGAGCAATACAAACTGAATCAAAGTGCCAATTGAATATAGTGCTGGTTAAATATTTAAGTCAATTATCAATTGTATTTATTTATTGCAGTTTTGGTTTGGTTTTGGTTTTGTTTTTGATTTTGTTTTTGTTTTTGTTTTTTCGTTGCATAACAATATTTCAAATAATTAATTAAATCTGTTTTATATATAGTTCTTCCGTGTTTTCCATTTTGTAATAGTTTTGTTATTCTTTTGCTACTAACAAACGATGTTCTTTAATACTAGGTCTAATAATTATGTGCTTAGTGTGTAAAAAAAGAATTTGTTTAAAACTCATCTCATGGCCTTAAGCTTAACACTCAATAGATAATATATACCATATATGTATGTAGATAATAGGTAATAGATAATAGATAATAGATAATAGATAATAACACATGCTGCTTTCGGGTTTCGTTTTCATTTGTGTGGTTGTGTGGGTGTGTGTGTGAGTCGAGTAAAAATAATTTAATTAAATTCTTAGAATTTGCTATGTCTTTCTTTAGCTTGCTCTTCACGCACATTTATAGTTTTAATAATATTCAATTGATTAAGTTTAAGCTTGTGTTTAAAATAAAAGCTAATTAACTTTTTGTTTCTTTGTTTTTTTTGTTTGTTTGTAATTTCAATATTGTGTTTCATTGTGGTTTTTTGCTTTTCGTTGAGTAAATTTTTAGTTGTATGTGTATGAGTGTCTGTGTATTCGTCGCTATGATTGACATCAATTTGTCAAGCTCTAAATTAATAGTTCTAAACGCTATTCGCACGCAAAGGAATACACTCGCCTTGACATCCTGGCAAACCCTTTAAGAAAAAGAAATGAAAAAAGAAACAAAGTCAACATAAAATGCCATATTTTACCACCGTGCTCTGTTTGCTGTACACACACAAAAAATCAATTTTAAAATAATAATATAGGAAAGAAAATATAAACACAATGCACGATCTGCACTGGGACACTGGAACAGTGGGAGACGGGGTGCAGGTGTAAACATTACCATACCACATTCAGAAATCGAATCAGAATCGATTCAATCACAGATAATAGATATCGATAGTGCCCTCCTCGATCATGCGCTTGAGTGCCAGATAATTTTTGGGCGAGGGCGGTGGCCGTGCCAGCCTCTTGATGCTATACTCCCTGTCGTGAAAGACACAAATGCGATCCTGCAATATTTACACAGTCCTCTTCAATTCAAATACAAAATTCCAACTGCGGATAGCTACTGGGATCAACAATACTCATTACACGATTACCAGTTTAATTGAAATGCCAAGTACGGGGCCTATGCCAAGCGCGATCTAATTTGATGTGAGCTCCAATCGTAGGTCTACTATTTTAAAACCTAACTTTTCGAGATTTTATTCAGATGATACAGCGTGTTATAAGTTAAGTTGTTAGTTAGAAATAAAAAGAACAGAACAGGTCATAGAACAGGTGCTAGTGCAGGTAAATTACTTGTAGGTGTCAGTTGAGAGTGCGAAAAGCATGCGACATACACAAAAAGCAGAGGTTCAGATTTAGTTAGTGGTAGTGCAAGAGTTATTAGAATTCAGCTGTGATTAGGTGTTCTGGAGTAGATAAATCGATTGTCTGGCTTGTCGATTTTACCTTGGTTGTGCAGAAGCAGCATTCGAATTCCACTGGCACATCCTGCTCCAGATTGTCCATTCGCTGGTTTTGCAGGTTCTCGAGCGCCACCTGGCGGCGCAGCTCGGCAACTTCCTATAAATAGGGTTTAGGGTTTTGGCAAAATGTAAATGCATAAATCGAAATACAACAAAATTGAATAATGCTCACACAGCATGCAGCATACAGATAAAATTCTAATAACAGAGTTAAACATTTATTGTATATACATTAATTTATGATCTTAAGGTTTAATTGAACAAAACTCTCATGCGCATGCCCGGCAAATCGCTGAGAAACGAAACTTGAGCGTTTGCAGCGGTAATTGAACTTTCGTGGCACTTCGCTAAAGACCGTGAAATGATAGTTGAATGTTGAGCGTATATTGTTATGTCCAGGTAGCTGTGATATGAGTCTAGCTAGGGAAAATTGACAACTGACAGTCTGGTTTGAATCGGTTGTCAGAATTACATTTGAAAACTTTTCGTTCCTCAACAAGTTAAATGATCTGCTCTCAATGTGCTCTAAATGCGATTAAGCAATCTGCTTTGGATTGGTAATTTTCTTTGGGTACATCTGAATTGCATAAGATATCTACTTCTTCTTCTAGTCGCACTGATTATCGTCTTACGATCGGGCAAAACTCGTCAACATCCCAAGAAGTTTGGAAAACGTGAAGCAAGGCGCTTCAGCCGTGACTACGAATATATCGACTCCAGTGCAGATGACCAATTGAAACGCCTGAGCCAGTACAACAGTAAGAATGGCGATGCTGCGCAGGACGAGAGTGGGTATTCGCAGCGCAGCTAATGTGTCATTCATGCCATTCTCATTGCAATGCTCCACAGCGCTTCAGGATCGTCCCTCGTGCGCTACAGTGCCTCAGCCTAACCTGCAACCCGTCCGCGCTTCCCCTGTGACGCCCATTCCCACAACCTGCCTAACAGCCTATCCGACCACCCAAAATCCTAAAACCCATTGCAATATTTTGCAGCAGCTAAACCAGAATTTGGGCCAGCAGTACCAGCACCAGCAGCAGCACCAGTTCCAGCAGCAGCAGCATCAATATGCACCAAAGCAACAGTATACGCAGCCGCAACAACAATTTCCAGATCAACAACAGAAGCAGCAGCAGCTGCCGTACGACTTGGACGATTCTGAACTGCGGGGCAAGGAGTTGCGCAAGCTGGTGCAACATCTGTATGTGGCACAGGCGCGCGTCCAGCTGGAGGCAACTGAGATCCACAAGGCGCAAGCAGTGGCGAGATCGGCGCAGTCGCAGCTTGAAGATTCAGCCAATCATGTTCGCACCATTACGGCGACACTGCACAACGCACAGCAAGAGGTGGCTGCAGCAGCAATACGTGCTCAGATCGCGCAGCTGCAGTTGGCTGCCCATGATCAGTTGCTGTTTGCAGCTCGGCAGGATGTGGATGCGCTTTCCTCTCAAGTGGTTGGCCTGCAGGCGGCCGAGGGCATTGTGCAGCCTAAGCTAACGGTCGACTTGCATGCACTGCTCGATAAGCTGCGACAGCCGCTGCAAAGCTTCGATCGACCCACGCCGGTGCCCATGATTATCACCTTGCCTCCGTTTAACGAAGCTCCACTTGCCCCTGCACGGCAAAGGTTTCACACTGACCTAGGCATGGGCCTAGGGACTGGTACTAGCGCTGGCATTGGGTCTGATATTCGTGGAGACGGCAAAAGCCAGGACCTCATGATGATGAAGGTTGCTCAACGCATACCCTATGCGTAGTTGAGGCACACATCTAATTATGTCTATCTCCACATAGCTTTATATATTTTATATGATTATGCCAGTTTAGACACATTTCCTACAAGTACATATCTGTGTGTGTTTCTCTTCTGTTTGTGACTTTATGTTGGGTAGATGATGAATCGATTGAATGCGTATTAAAAGCAGCTGCAGCAAATACTTATAGATATAGAAGGCAAAAAAAAGGATTTTAGTATAGACACCTATGGAAATTATGTATAGAAAATTTGAGATAAAATTTAAAACTGATTAATTAGCTATATATACATATTCTGATTTGAATTATTTGAAATTTAGTACGTATACAAAAAATTGGCAAGCTTCTGTTTGTATATACATATTTACATGATTAATATATTGAATAGCTAAAAATACATATCCATTGCATTTATCTATATTCTATACCGCACGTATTCTACAAGTCTCTATTAGAGTATAGCTGCAAAAGACTGTTGAGTCAGCTTCTATGACTAAAGTTCTTCATTGATCACGCTCTGGCTATCAGCTAATTATTTGAATATGCATGTAGTATAAGCTAAAAGTTGAAAACAATACAGGATCAAAAACTTCATAGCTAAAAAATAAATAATAAAAATAGATAATTCTCTTAAGCAAACTAGCAGCTGAAATGCGTTCTTATGGAGCACTTGAAGACATTCTCAAAATGCAAATATTAAGAGCTCGAATTGTTTTTCTTTTGTTTTCTTATAGAAGTCCAAAAAAGAAAGAAACAAATAAAAATTTAGCAATATGTTCAGCCTCTGAAAGTCAATTTGGTGAAACTTATTATTTCTTTTTGATTTTGCATGTTTTTGGTAAAAAAATAGAATTGAAAATTCTATATAGATATTAAAGAGTAGCAGTGGCAAGTAGTATGCATTAGAGTAGAGTAGTTTGAGTTCTTTGTGTATACTTTGAATGTACCTCCTTACTGCGTCCCCGTAAAATCTAAAAGTTGAAATGTGTTGTTGTTGTTATCGAACTTATTTTCTTTTTATAAGTAGCTAGCTCTCGCATGTGGGTAAGCTGTTTAGTGGGTATTGTTTTTTGGTTTTTGTTGTGTGATCATGTGAGAGGGAAATCAGAAAAAATCGAACATGAAGCGGAACTTAACTCGACTAAAATGGGACCAAAATTCGTGTTTACCGATTCGATACAACTTAAGTGGAACTAAAGTTCATAAATGATGGGTGTGTCCACCCCTTGAAGTTGGCTTTGATGTATTGTTTTTTTGTTTTTTTTTTTTTTTTAATTTAATTGGGATTTCTTAAAAACCAAATGGCGATGGAAAATTATATGGTAAGTGTACTGTTTACAATAGTCGAAATATATTTTAGCTCCAGTTAACGGCTTCACATTTACTAATACATAGTTACGGTTTAAGAACTTTGAAAACATTAAGATATTTAAGATATACGAGCACTTGGCTTGGACTACACACTTAGTCGGTAGACAATACACCCCGTCCCGACACCCACACTTACCCCGGGCGTTATCATCATCTGTATGGGCAATCCCTTCTGGTTTGACGCTATGGTCATTGCATCCTCCGCTTGCGTTGAGGCAGCTGCTCCTTCCTCTTCTCCGTTCTCCTGGCCGGCACTGCTGGAGGTAGCGACAGCCGTCGCTGCACTCGAGGCCGCTACCATGGCCAAATTATTGGCAACCCCGCCAGCAGGCAGCTGTGCAGCTGGAGATAGCTTCTGTTGCTGCTGCTGGGATAGGAGTAGTGCTTGCTGCTCGCGCCTGTAGCTTTCCATGGCCATCATTGAGGTCTGCCTGGCATTTGGATTGTCGAAGCTGTAGGGCGGTACAGCATCCTGCTCAGAGCTGGAACCGCGGCGCTGCGTAAGAATGGCAATAAAATTAAATAAGCTCCGATCAATCAGGAAATATTGCTTTAATATCAGTTATGGGAAACTCGGTTCTTCTCCCAAATCTCATTCCCGTGACTTTGTTAGAGCTAAGAGCAAATTAGTATGTTATTGATGCTTGAATGTTTGTTCAAATGGTTGATTTAACCAATTGTTAGTTTTTAATACTTCGAAAGTTCATCTTGATTAAACCAAAAAGTAATCTGTGAAGAATATATTTTATACTTCTCAATCATTTAAAAATTTCACAGATTTCTTTTATTGTATATGTTTGTATTAAGGCTCTATTTAAAGTCAATTATAATTGACTAATTATATTGAATAAAATAGGAAAATTTTAATAATAGATATAATGATGTTTGTAAGTATAGAATAGCTCAAAAAGCTGAGCTTAATCTTTCAGACAATTTAGACCTTCTTTGATTAGAACTCATCAACGATTGAAATGAGGACTATATAAGGACTTCAGAAACAATGAAAAATGCTGTAAGTTCTTCTAGCTGAATCAAATAAACAGGTATTTTGTTAGGTTGAATATGAAATTAGAAATTCATTTTGTGAAAATTACCTTGTGGCATACAATTGATAAGAATTGATTACTAGGTGAAATTCAGGGTATTAGCTGGTTGGTCTCATGGGCGGAACTTACATGCATATTCGAGTTTCGCAGATGGGCCACGTGGTCGTAGTTCTTGTAGCAGCCAGCGCCTGTGGTAGCCGGATTGCGACCGCTGGTCGACTCGCCCTCTGTGCTATTGCCATCAACATCCGCTTGGGAGAGATTGTGTCCTGTGGGCGATCGGCGTAGCGCGTGGGTTAAACGGTGCCAATTTTTTAGCGATCTTGTGTGACTTTCGCGCTTTTCTGCATTGCGAGTGTGTGTGTGTGTGTACAGGTGTGAGTGTGTGTGTGGGTGTGGGTGTGGGTGTGGGTGTTTGTGGATATGTATTGTATATAAGTGGGTTTCAAGAGTGTGGAGTTATCGCGACACGTTAGTGTTGTATTTATTGTTTTGGTTGTTGTTGTTTTTTTTGGGTTTTATTGTGGTTGTGGTTGTTGTTATCGTTGGTAGCACGCGTAAAAAGCCATGAATGCATTTTGTAGCAATTTTCAATAGATATTATATTATATATTTTATATTGGAAATTCGCATTTGTTTAGCCGCATATTAGGAATTTTTATTTGTTTCATTTATGATTTGGGAGTTTCGTTTGTTTGTTTGTTTGTTGTTGTTGAGAGAGCGTAAATGAGACGAAATTTAAATTAAACGGATAAAAGGAATAAAAGAAAGAAATATGCAATTTATGAATGCTCGATTATTACGATTATGTTTGTATGCTATGGCTATTGGTTTATGCTATTGTTCTTCAAGCAACGACGACGACGACGTTGATTCTTTAATGACGACGATCAATAACTTTGACGATAACAAGTAGTAGTAGTAGTAGTAGTAGTTAGTAGTTAGTTACATTTAAAAAACAACATTGAACGGCCAACAACTGGGAGTACAGTACGAGGATAATACGAGTATGTAGGTAAGTCAAGGTGTACGAGTATATTAAGATATGTATATAACTAAATGTATATAAATACAATTTATTAGTATGTACTTTATGCGTGTATGCATGAGTGAGTGTGTATGTGGGTGAGTGTAGTTAAGAACAACATTTACTTGAATAGTGAGACTGGTAACAAGTAAAAGTGAGCTATAGAGTAGTTGGCACAATGAATATATAGCAGATAGATCTGCTTAAAATGGATAGTATCTTCATAGTTATTATTAGAATTATTATTATTAGAAATTGAAGTTGTTTTTTATTCAATTGATTAATTTATGTTTTTGAGACTTTTATTCATAATAAATATTTAAGCGTTTTCTATTTTCCTGAATGTCTGATCAAATGAAGTAGATGAGCGTATGTTATATTTAGGAGTTTAAATTTGGATTTATGAAAGTTGTTTTTCTTTTGATAAATTGCTCTAACAAAACCGGCAAAACAAATGGACGAGAGAAGAGGCTGACTCATATTTTGTAAGCTCGCATGAGAGTTGTTCATTATGTAAGTTATAGACTGCTGAATTGCTAAACAAAAGCACAATTCATGGTTCTTTTGCGCAATCTCATGTTTTTGCCCTAAAGGCAACACAAACATAAAACATAAAGGCTTAACTCAGAAAAACACAACGAAATGGGCAAAAATATGCCCAATCAATATAGACATATGATAATCAAAAGAAAATAAAGGAATTTGGTGTACTCTTTTGGTTGTCTTAATAAATAACAGATCAATGTAAAATGGCTTGCTTCGTCGATAGTTTAAGCCTTTCTGGGACGAGAAGCTTATATTAATTGAGCAACAATTGCATTGTTTACCTTTTTAATTTGGCTTTTATAAGGGGCAATGATTATTAGACACAAGTTAGAGTTCAAAGCTTGACAAAGGTACACAGTTAAAGCAAATATTGGTTGATCGATTAATAGATTGGATTAATAGTGTTTGTCAAGCATTAAACATAACTTTATATATTGTAGATGCAGTTTCGATTAGTAGAGTTATGATATAAATTGTGTTGTTAAATGAAATACAGCGTATTAGGTTTTGGTTTTATTGCTAATTCACACAGACACACAAAAGTTGACATTTTTACAAAATACACAAAATGTATAAATACAGCCACAAGAACTTTGAATAAATACGAGTTATATTATATAGTTGATGTTGTTGTTATTTGTTTTAGAGACACGGCTTGGATAGTTAGGAGCGTAGTTAGAGCGCTTCTAGACAAGTAGATGTATGTAGATATAGTTGATAAAGTAGAGATAGGAGGCATGCAGTGTTACAAAACTTCGCACTCTGACGCATCGAGATCGTACAGAAGTTTATATGTATAAATATATATATATATATTTTATATATATAAATATATATATTTATTAAAAATTAGATTGGTACACACATACACAGGACAAAAGTAAAAGAAACGAGTTTGGAAGTAAAAGGCACGTAAAAGGCTTTTCCCGCTCGAATATATTATTACTATTTTTAAATAATATTTTGCTTTCAATCCGATTCGATATGATAGAAATATTTGAACAATATACATACAATTGTAAGTCATTTCAATTGCAACGCAAATTATTAGAAAAACAGAAGTGAAATGAAAAGAGAAGAAGAACACTTACAACGAAATAGTTTTTGTTTTGTATTTCTTTAATGGGTTTTATAGATTATTTTTGTATAACTTCATTTAACTACTCGACGCGTTTTAGCTTAGATCTACAATTGTTCAACACTTAACAAAATTTACTTGCTTTTTTTGTCGTACTTAGCAATGCAACTGCAACTGCAACTATGGTTAAATAGTCTTATGAGTATACATCGAGTTTTTTCTGTTTCAAAAAAACATTTTGTTGCTGCAAACTAAGCGCGTTTGGCTTTAAATAAGGCAATTGATTTATATTTATTTCGCTTTTGCTATATTCGCTGAATTTGACCTATGCATTTATAGGAACATTCTGCCATCGTTTGCTAAGTATTCATTTATAAATATATTGAATATATGTATAGGTATATATATGTGTGTATATATGTTTAGCTACATACAATTTTGATGTCCACACGGGTGTGTGGCGAGCTCGCTAAATTATAAAATAAGCTTAGAGTCTGTTTCAGCTACATTAACTAATTTCATAAATAAGGCTGGCTTTTGCATAAATGGGGCCAGATCATTGACGCCATGTTTCGATGGCCAATGATCTTAGTCCTGCAGTATTTCCTATTCTTTTTGCTGCGTTGAATTTTGGAGGGATTCTCATTTGATTCCTCTGCAGGGCGCAGATTTTCATTACTTTTAATTTTAATTTTAATTTTTAATTTTTAGTTTTAATTTCTCAATATGTGTATATTTTTTGAAGCCCTGGAAGGGTATAAAAGCTTCGCAGTGCCCGAAGTAAATGTACTTAAATCCTCATATATATATATTCTCATCACTTTTGACTATTGTGCTCAACAAATGTTAGGGAAGTTCAGTTTCGCTAAATATTAATGTAGTATAAGCCTAGTTAATAGCTACCTATATAGACACTAAATCAAAATTGTGCATACGCGGATTGTTTTGAACATTTGTTGTAACGCGTTTGGCGTGTTATTAGCTGTTGGAATGGGAACTTGTGCTGTTGGTCCCACACTCTGTTCGAGATAGCCACATACACACACAGCCGCTGCGACCAAGTGGAAACACTTCTGTGTTGCCTTTTGTGGGCTCTTGAAAGTTTTGCTTAGTTTGTAAGTATGTCAAGTCAACTAAAAAAAGGTGTGGCTTAAACAAAGTACATAATCAAGCTGCAAAATAAGTCAAATGGAAAGAAACATCAGCAAATTTGAGCAGATGCTACATCGAATGAAAAGTGTTCTACACAGTTCTTTTCTTTTATATATTTTTTTCTTTTCGATTTTTCTAAGACATTTCAATAATATTTTCAAGTGCTGATGGCATTTAGTTAAAAATTAAAAAAATTCGCATTACGGCAATTAGCAAAACTTTCAATACAGCTTACAGTTGAAAGAGAAAATTTTTCACGAGCTGCGCAAACGCAACGCTACAGCGGAGTCAACGTTGCGTATGCGCAATGTGGCTGATATTGTTTTCAAGCAGCGGCGTATGTGTATGAGTTGAAATGTATATTTTTGTATTCAGAGTGTGTGGGTGTTTGAGTGTATGAGTGTTCATGGCGCCTAGAAGCAGTTACATATGTATAATCACAACATTTAATTTCAATAGCCTCGCTTTAACGGAAGTACATCGAGTAATTAATATAGATTGGGGTTTTCTTCACCTGAAAGCAGCAATTGGAAAACTGGAAGGCAATGTCTATAATCTAGCACTAACTATGAACAGTGAACTGGTTACTGGCTACTTGTTACTGGTTTTTGGTTTTTGTTTTTTGTTTTTTGGTTTCTTTTGCTTGAGTAGCTTGTGGGAAGTACTTGGTTGCTTGCATACACATTTACAATAACAATTCGTTTACAGTTGTTGCTTTTGCCTAAGACTAAGTTGTATGTATGTGTATATGTGTGTGTGTGTGTTTTTCAATGTGGAATGTGTCTTTAGTTGGTAGATAACAAGTTGCATTGTCTAATTTACATTTACAATAACAGTTTAGCTTTACGATACTCTTCAACAAGTTATTAGTTAGGCTTAGTGTGTTTGGGGTCGCGGAGCTCGGATGGGGTCTGCTCCGTGGTCTTATTGGGTATCGGTTGTTGTTGCTGTGGTTGCACGCTCGGGCAACTGCGACACGCTCTAACGACTGTCCTCGTTGTCACTCGAGCTGTTCTGCTGCTGGGCGTCGCGCTCCTCTAACAAACTGCGATTTAACTCCTGAATACGAGCAGACAAGGCCCGCCGACGAGGGGTGCCAAAGGATGGCAACGGCGGCGGCTCAATCAGCGTGTTTTTCTCGCCTGTCGGCGTGGTTCGAGTTCCGATTTTGGTAAGAAAGTTGGTTTAATGGTTAGAAACGTTTTGTTTAATGGCGACCAAAGTGCGTGGGCATATTTGTGTATATGTGAGTGTAAGTGTGAGTACGTGTGTGTGTGGCGAAAGATTTGGGTATTTTGGGTGACATCGAACGCGTTGAGATTTTGTTTTGTTTTTTTTTTTTGGTTTTTTGGTAAATTTGTTCAAGTTAACATTGTGTGAAAAAGTAGAAATAGAAGAGTAGAGAAAAGAACAAGTTGAAGGTATAAATTGAAGCTTAGTTGATTCTTCAAATTCAGTTTTACGGATAGACTTATTTTAGATTTTGGAATTGTGTGTTGTTGTTTTTTCCTTTTTTTTGTTTTATTGGTTGGTATACAAATTTGTTGTTGTTTATATTGTTTTTTTTTTTTCGTAATGTTAAATAACTCTATCCGAAGGCTTGACTTGCTTTAGCTAAGAACTACGATCGTCTAAGAAGATGAGTATATAATATGCATGTATATATGATTTATGTAATCAGCACTTGAAAATTTTCTAAAATGTACTTAAAAATTTTTGATTTTAGTTTATTTTTTAATATTTTTTTTTTTTTGTATATACTGTAATAAAGTTCGAAATGACAACTCTATATTGAACATTCAAATTTGCTATGTATATTGTGATAATAATAGTTTATGTAACTATGAAAATCAAGCTTAGCTTTTAATGGTTTCAATCGTTTGGGTGTACAAACGAACTCATAAACAATTTGGTTTCAGCGGCAAAAAACGAATTTATAATTAAAGCAAATTTTACGTTTAATGCAAACTTAAATTAACAATGCAACCAATTGTTGAGCATATGCAATAATACATTTTTAAAGGGGTTTCGGTGTAACAATATATTTGATATCTCTGAAAATATTATTTGCAAGTATTCAGAGTCCCAACTAAAAGGTTTCTAATAGAAATTATTTAATATCGATTGCCAATGGGAAGCCCGAGTTTATTTACAATCTAAGTGAATGTCTGAAAATTACCTTTTATATGGAAAAAACAGACCTGTGCATTGCGGTTGTATATACAAGGATTGATAATATAGATATATAGAGTTTATATATAGAAGTGATTCTTAAAGAGAAGTTATTTATAGGACTAAGTTGCTAAAGCTTGTGGTTTTAGCTGGATTGGCAATTGGCTAAGTCTTACGTAAGCGCTAGAGGCAAGTTTCAAGGACTACAACTTGTAAATAGTTGAGTTGGATTATGTTAGGTGATTAATTGCTGGATTGATTGCTTGATATGCGCTACGTATACGCAATGTTAGTCACCTGGAGCGCTTTGCACGTCAAGGGTTTGCCTGCCTATATTGGGAGTGCTTTGTCTTTTACCTTTCGGATGCACAACATTTGTTTGCTTGCCTAAAATTAGATACGAGGGCGGAATTGGACGTAAATATTAGGCGAATCCACAATAAAGAAATAGTAAATTGCCGACTTACAGGCGTGTGTGAGTGTATCTGTGTGTCCATGTGTTCGTGTGGCTGTGTGTGTGTCTGTGTCTGTGTGTAGGGTAAGTGCGCTTTTGAACTTTGTACAAGTAAAATCCCCACTAATTTCTTGTTTAAGCGCGCTAAGTACAAAAGCATTTGTCTAATTGACCATTGTAGCAATGCAACTGTGTATCTGTGAGTGTTGGTGTGTGTCTGTGTAAGTGTGTGTTTAGGGGCTTAGTTGTGTTGTCTTCAAAGCCGACAGCATTTAGCGTCCGCTTTGGTTTAACGCAGCTGCATTATTGAGCAGGTGTCAATTAAAGGCAAATGGCCTAAGGGCTACAGAAACTTAAAAGTAATTCAATTTGCTTAACAAGTTAACAATTGTATTCAAATACCATTAAGCTTACTTAGATTAACAATCAATTTATTGAATTGCCCGAAAATTTCTATCATCTTACGGCAGTCTATATTAACAATTTATTAAATCGACTATTTACACGCCTTCGTTTGACAGTTGAAAATGAAATAAATTGAAATCGAAATTGAAATTAAAATGAGAAGCTGACAAAAACCATGCAACAGGAAATAGACGTTTAAGTATATATATATATATATATATATATATATATATATAAATATATATATATATATATATATAAATATATAAATGATAAAAGCGACATAAAGTTAAGATAGAGCAGAGAACATAAAAGCTTAAATAGCAAAGCGAGGCATACAGCTACGTTGATAAGGCAACAGCTAAAAAGTTGTATATAACTTTGAATTGAGCAGGCAAATGTTTACTTAGAGAGCGAGAGAGAGAGCTAGAGAGAAAGTTTTCTGCTCGACTTACCTGTGTCGACAATCACATCGATGAGATCCATTGATTTGGCGAACGCATCTTTAAGATTGATATGATGGAAGGAGACAATGCTGCCCTCGCGCTTGGCACGGTCAAGTGCCTCGCGACGTTTGAGGGCCTTCTCGCGCCGCATCTGATTCTTATAAAATTCAGCAAAATTGTTAACGATGATGGGAATAGGCAAAGCGATTACCAGAACACCGCATATGCAACACACAGTACCAATAACCTTTCCCAGTGCAGTTGTGGGATAGATGTCCCCGTAGCCAACAGTTGTCATTGTAATACCCGCCCACCAAAATGTTTCCGGTATTGAAACGAATTTTGTATCCTTTTCATCCTTTTCGGCAAAATATGCCAGCGAAGAAAATATGAGAACGCCCATGGCCAGGAACAGCATTAGTAGACCGAGTTCCTTATATGAGTTACGCAGCGTAAAGCCTAACGACTGCAGGCCCGTTGAGTGACGGGCCAGCTTAAGGATTCGCAGGATGCGCATGATGCGGAATACTTGCACCACCCGGCGCACATCCTGGAACTGGTCCGTTGCATTCTTATTCGTTTCCAATAAAAATAACGAAACAAAGTATGGGAGTATTGCCAATAGATCGATTATGTTAAGGCCGCCCTTAAAGAACTTCCACTTGTCCGGTGAGGCGCTAAACCTAAGTATGTACTCTAGGGTAAACCACGTGATACACACGGCCTCAACCATTGCCAATTGCGGATTATCCTGTGGTGTACCATTGTCAATGTGTTGTAGTTGTGGTAGGGTGTTCAACGTCAGGGCTATGGTAGACAGGACTATGAATAGTATGGATATCACTGCGATAACCTGTGAACGGTAAAGAACAATCGAAACTTTGTCGAGACGATCATCAACAACAACATCACAACGATTATAAATGTATCTATTTTTTTAATTAATCAAACACACAGAGTTACAACAATTAGCGCTTGCTTCCATTTCTTTTTTTGGTTTTGTTTGGGATCACATATGTTTATCGTATATTGTATATCGTATATCGTATATCGTATATCGTATATACAATTTCCATTTGTTAAATTTCGTTTGGGAAAACTTTCGATGTTATAAATCAATTTGAAGCAAACATTCGGTTAGCTGAGCGCAAAACGTTTAGTTTTTCTGTATTTGGGAAGGGGAATCAAGAACTCGATCTGAGAACCGTTTAAAAGATGTTGTTGATCGTTGTATAATTGACAGAAGCCTGATGCCTGATGCCTGATCCTTTTTATTTTTCAGATGGGTACACGCATTGTTGGGTCTTTCTGTTGGGTCAACGTATTTCTCTATTAATGGTCTTATTCAAAGGCTGCTGTACTATATGTGAAGTATATCATTTGTAATCCTTCTTCCTTATCATACAAACAGAACAATAAACGCAAAATATTTAAATAACAGAAATAAACTGAGATATATATGTATATATACATATGTATATGTAAATATATATATATGTATAAAAATAAAAATAAACTCAGGTTGTTGTTGTGTTCAAATCAATAGAACTCTTCAATTCTTGGGGTTAGTAGTAGTTGGTGTAGATATTTCGAGAGACTAGTTATATCGGGTTAAATAAGAAGTTAAGTAACGTCTCTAAATGTGTCTCTCAAGTTGCTGTGATTGTGGGCGTGGCTTGTGGCTTTGTTTATCTGTGGGTGGGTGCGTGTCGTATATGATTGGATAGTGTCGTGGGTGTATTAGTGGCTGCACTGAGCTAGTTTCTCTAGGTGTCTGTGAATACTTGTGTATGTGTGTATAAGTTAACACATAACATTTAATATAGGGTATTTCATAAGTTTATAACCAACCCTCGCTATCGCGTGTTTCGTAAGTTAAGAAACAGCCCTCGCAATTGCGACACTGCATACTTTGTATCAGCGCGCTATAACTGCAATGGTCAGCGGCGGTAACCAGATACTTTTGTTTACTGCAAGAGTTTCCGTTATTGCCTAAGATTGCTGAGTCGGCTTGCCGACCATGACATTGTGGTGTGATGCGAGTTTTGGCTTAGCTTAAGTGAAATATTCTATGTAGCTAAAAATCAGTTTTGCATTGAAGTTTGAAGAATAAACCCGCACTACTCCGGCACACCGCCGTAATCAAATTGTTATATTTCTGATCATTGCTGAGCCACAAGGCCAGTTAATAGAAAAGGGGGTGAAGTCAAACCCTCCAACATAATCATCATAAGAAGATTATAATTACCCGATCAACGCTGGACCTGCCACCGACGCCTAGCTCATAGCTGGACCAGCAACTTATTGATTAAGACTATAAATACCCGATCAACGCTGGACCTGCCACCGACGCCTAGTTCATCGCTGGACCAGCAACATATTAATTGGCGCCCAACGTAAAAAAAAAAAAAAAAAAAAAAAAAAAAAAAAAAAATTTTTTTTTTTTTTTTGGAATTTAAATCATATTAAACAAGCTTGCAGAAAAATTACGATTTATCCTGTCATTCACAAGAATTTCATATTGCGATTGCCTGACAACGTCATAGCCGAATGCGATGGAAAAACCCACACACTGCAGAGTTGCACCGCTTCACCTGGAGCCACCTTTTGTCGTCTGGCATTAGAGAGTTCATGTGCCAAAGAGCTCCATGCAGGTGGCACGGCACACTGTGAAATCCAGCCGAGCAACCTGGAAATAATCACCCACGTAGATGATGGAATCATCATTCTTAACGACGGGTCCGCAAGGATCCAGGTGGATAACGGCACTGAAATCCAAGTACACGGCACGCATCTCATTACGTTCGGGGACCGAGTCGCGATCAACGGGACTCTGTTTTACAACCACAACAACGTACGCAATAGAGTCCCGGGCATTGCCAACTCTCCCTTGCTGAACATCACTGCCAGCCAAGATGTCCTCAGCCTCCCTTATCTTCATCGTTTAAATGAACGTAATTTGGAGGAGATACAGCAATTCAAGAAAGACGCCGGAACTGATCAAGCTTATCGTGTGGCATTCATCATTGGAGGTATATGCTGTGCTTTAATCTGCATTGGCCTCACCCTTTGGCGGTTCATCGACGCAAGGAAGTCTGCGAAGCAATTACGAGAAGTCGTCGCCGGAATTGGGTCGGCCGAGGGCGGCCTTACACTTGAAGGGGGAGTAGTTAACACATAACATTTAATATAGGGTATTTCATAAGTTTATAACCAACCCTCGCTATCGCGTGTTTCGTAAGTTAAGAAACAGCCCTCGCAATTGCGACACTGCATACTTTGTATCAGCGCGCTATAACTGCAATGGTCAGCGGCGGTAACCAGATACTTTTGTTTACTGCAAGAGTTTCCGTTATTGCCTAAGATTGCTGAGTCGGCTTGCCGACCATGACATTGTGGTGTGATGCGAGTTTTGGCTTAGCTTAAGTGAAATATTCTATGTAGCTAAAAATCAGTTTTGCATTGAAGTTTGAAGAATAAACCCGCACTACTCCGGCACACCGCCGTAATCAAATTGTTATATTTCTGATCATTGCTGAGCCACAAGGCCAGTTAATAGAAAAGGGGGTGAAGTCAAACCCTCCAACATAATCATCATAAGAAGATTATAATTACCCGATCAACGCTGGACCTGCCACCGACGCCTAGCTCATAGCTGGACCAGCAACTTATTGATTAAGACTATAAATACCCGATCAACGCTGGACCTGCCACCGACGCCTAGTTCATCGCTGGACCAGCAACATATTAATTTATATAATTGTATTTGTGTATTAGACGAAGGACATGACGTAGTACAGGAGTGTAAGACATTTACGCAATTACTAGCTACGCATTGAGAATAGAGACCTTTTTCTGATTGGCACTACTTATGGTTGGCACAGAGGAGGAGTGTCGGGGATGTGGTCTATGTTAAATAAGAGACGCTACCATCGGGTCTGCAGTCGACATTTGTATAATCAATTTTTCATAATAATGAATGGACAAAACGCTTTGTTCTACATTGTGTTGCTGTTCGTTTCGCTGTCTGTGTTTTGATTGTTGTTATTATTTTTTTTTAATCGGAATTGAAAATAACGATAAGTACAAACTGAGTAAATCGGAAATTACGATTACACATATTATGTATAATGGAGCTATAGTAGGTCAAATGAATCGTACGAACTAGCATTTTACAAAAAATCGAATGCATATAACTTTTCGAGCTAGAAATTACTAATACGTCTACTAATTATAAACGAATCAAAACAAATCAAATTATAAGTCAAACCATCAAATAATTGCAGTTATCCAAGCCAAGAATATATTTCTAATATACTTCTCGTCAAAAGTCAAATTTGCAATTATTTTGATGTAATCTATAAATGAATGCATAACAATAGGAAACTCATACAGAATTTGTTTGTTAAAAATTCATGTAATTTACTAAGAACTGCAAATTGCAAATTGTTTTGGATTTTTGTTTAAGGGTCTAAGGGGAGGCTGGGGTCTGCATACTGAAGTGGCCCAAAGCCAAAATGTTTTGACAGTAACAAGTGCATTTTGAATATCAATGCCAGCTGGAGCAGATCATAGGGATAGAGGGAGACAGAGAGAAAGATAGAAAGAAAGAGATAGAGAGAGAGCTAGAGTCAGAGGAATTCTGATTGCCACATTTGGGCACAATTCCTTAAGTTCAATCTGTGTTATATGTGTATAAATGCTTGTGTATATGTGTGTGTGTCGCTCGGTATGTGCACTGACAGTTGACTTGACAACAAAAGGCAGCTGGGGGCTGTGCCGCAAGTGCACCGGACACAATATTAAACATTGGAAAACCTTTTAAAGCGATTGAGAAAATTTCTTTTATGGTTTATTTAAGATTTGCCTTGTCTCAAAACGACAAACAAGGCTGCATGAGTGCGAATATATATATATATAAATATATATATATAGATATATATAAATATACATAATTATATATTTGAATATACATAGCTTGTATATACACATATGTATATATGCGAGTGTGTGTATGTGTGTGTGTGTGAGAATGTGTGTATGTGTGGCACAAATCAGTTTGTGTCCAGATCTACCATAGTAGGCCACTGTACGCAACCACGCATTTCTCTTTACTTTAGCCTCAAGGCGGGTATTACAAGTAAATGAATATAATTTTGCATGGCTCGAGGCGATTTCTTTTTCTGTTTTATTGGGGGGTGACTTTATATTTCTTGGCTGGGAATAAGGCTAGATAATTAATATTGAATTCGGTTTTGTAAAATGTAAATGATATGCTATAGTAAATTGTTAGATATACATATATATCAATATATTAGGAGAATCATACTTAGGGTTCGAGTAGAGGAAAACCATACAAGTAAGAAAACAAAAAAAATTATGAAATCAAATTCTAGTAAAATGAATATAAATAGAAAGAGAGAGAGATATCATAACAGATAATGAAGTCAAAGAAATATTGAACAAAAAACGTGCTTCATTTAGCATCTTTCAAGCGTTCGATAAGTTGAGTGGGAGAAATAGTACAAAGATATAAGTTTATATGTATGCTATTCTACATTTAAGAGAGTCAGAGTTGGGTAAAGAGAGAGAGAGAGACAAAGAGAGAGAGATAGAGACAGTGAGTGAAACGGATACCTGGTGTCATTATTTTATATACTTATGTACACTGTGGCCCCAGTCGGTTGCAATTTAAGTGGGGTTCGATCGACTATCAAACTTCGGGAAAGTTAATCAAATTTGAAATTAGGCTTTTACTTAGGCGGGGGTCATGTGGAGCGCGGGAAGTACTGGGTACAACTTACTACTTGATATGATTTGGAATGCATGATGTACAAAATTGTATAGTTTTACTTTTTACTTTGAACTCAATTGACGTTTTATATCTTTTGTTTAATTATATTTTTTGTCGATTGAATAGAATGCATTGGAGATGTTGAAAACAATAAGCTGATTGTACGTGTTCGGGTTGTGCGAATTTTGGAACTGCTACCACTGCTGCTCAGTCATGATTGAGGGGGATCTTTGAGGAGGTTGAAATGATGTCGCAATACGCATACTAAAGTTGAGCACAGCTTGGAGACGCCATACGGCTTATTTGCTATATACTGACTAAGTAGGTAGTAAAAATTTAATGAGGATATTGGATTTTCATTAAACAAAAAGCAAACAACTAGAAGCACAGCCCATGCTCATAAGGTGAGCTTTGAATAGATTCACAAAAGCTTTTGCCTTATTTAAAGGAAAAAACATAAACTGTCTAGAATCCATTGAAAGCAAATACAAATGGCTTGAATGAAAAGCGATTTTCAAAAGAAAAAGAAGCAGATAATATATTATGATACAGACGTAAATTTGAATTAACTTCCCTGTAGTCTTTGGTTAATCCACTTGAATTACAAAACAGGGCGAGTTTATAATACAAAAACACAAAGATAAACTGGGAAAATGTGGCAACAAAAATCCAGATAGTAGGAAGAAAATAAAACAAAAACAGACATACTCATCAGTAAATCTGTGGAAAATTGAATAAAGACATGCGGCAAGAAGTTAGGGAATAAATAAATATGTTCAAATATCATACGACTATATGCAAGACATTTCAGGTATGAAATATAGAACTATTTGCTATACAAGAAAATATATATACATATAAAAGTTATATAACTTGGGATGATCAAATGCATACACATTCAATTTGTGGATTTGTATTGGAAAGTGCGCATACGCCATGTTGGCATAAACTTTAAATTGTTTGTGTTTATGCAAAAAGTTGGTGTGTGTAAGTGTTTGTGTGCCTGTGTGTGTGTATGTGTATGTGTGTGTTTGTGCGCAGGTGCAAGGTTGTGAATTGTAATACAAAAATGAGCAAGGGCCAAAGTAACGCATCGTCTTGCACTACAAAACTAGCTGACTAAATATTTGACAAGGTTTGTTGCAATTGGTTCATTGGGTTTACGGTTGAGTGTGTTTCTGGTCGACATATTTGTGGTATTTTTTTGTTTTTTCAAGTTTTGTATTTGATTTCTAGTATTCTAGTATTTGTTGTGGGTTTCGAGGGGTGCACGAGTTGGTTCGCATACTTTGTTCGGCTTACTAAAAAACAAACAAAATTCGATACAAACTGGCTATAGAATTCAGTATAGCCGACTACGTCATTCTATACTAGGCATTCAAATGCAGCAAATTTGGTGGGTTAATATTTCAAGTTTGGGGTTATCTATTCGATATACGTTTTAAGATTTATCTGTAAAAACGAAAAGGGAATTGAAAAATAAAATTGCTTTAAAATTTCTGACTGAATGGCACAATATCGTTTTCTGTATGTCTATTTTTGTCTCTATTTATATTTGAATATTATTTAGGTTCAAGTTAATTGTTTTGGTGTGTGTAAGTGTGTGTGTTTATTTGTTTGTTTGCTTGTTTGTCTGTTTGTGTATATAGATAGTTACATGTGTGTGTATTTCAAGTTTGAAGTTGATTCGATTGGAGGTACTAAGTAGTAGTAGTTTAAGAAGCCAATATACCAATTGGTTACAACAGTCAATATCAAAGATAAGATACGTTAAAACACAACAATGAGTTAAGAAAATTTTCTGAATGCAATAGATAACAAGACATCAAATACGAGTATCGAGTACGAGTACGAGTACGATTATATATACGATAGATAGGATAGTATATATATATCGTGCCGCTAATAGGAACACAAAAGATAACACAAAAGGAGATACACAATAATACATCGAGTTGAATTTTGTTGAACAAATAATATATATATATATGTAAATTTGTTGTAAATTGGTTTTTGTTGGTAATTTTTTAGTATAAATGGCAAATGTTTGTCGTGTGAGCGCGTTTTCCTTGCCAACAGTATTAACGGGTATTTATTGTGTTGGTACATCGTTGATTGGTTAAACTGGACTGAACTCTTTCAACGCAGATAAAAACTGAGAGTATTTCGAAATACTACTCTTTTTTCTTTTTTACTGTCTTTTGTTTTGGTTCTCATATTTATCTTTTTCGTATAAAAAAGGATGTGTTTAGGCGGAGTATTAAAAAAAATAAAAACATACAAAAATAAAAATGTTGCTTATTTTTCTCTTCTGACTTCGTTAGTAGTTGAAGAAAAATTAAAATAAAAATATTTTAAGTACAACTGGCAAAGAGCTCTGGAAATTTTTCATTACCTTTGTAAAAATGACAAATCATAAGTTGTGTTAATTATTTTTTTGCCTAATTCTTTTTACAAAATTGTATTGGCTAATAATAATGTAAAATTAATTGGCTTTAATATCTTAAGCAGCAAAATTTGATAAACTTAATATGAGAAATTATGTAAAATACTTTTCTGATATTCGCAATATTTTCTTTTGTTTTATTTTAAGTTAACTTTTCAAATTTAAAAATAAAAATAGTTTTAGCTTTGCTTAGCCAATACAACATGTTGAAAATTCATACTAAGTATTTGGTTAGTTATAACAAAAAAATACATAATATAAATAAAAAGGAAATAAAAATCGAATGAAAAATTATTGGAGATGCGCCCAAATATGTTGTAATTATTTCCATTTTCGGCCATTGCTTAAGCTAAAGCTCACTGAAATTGAGATATTGGCAAATTATCGGCTGTTATTTACAAGCTGAAGCCAAACTGTGTGTGCGCTGAGATATATTTATAGATGTGTGGGTGGGTCATGATCAAGGTCGATTATGGTACAAGAGCGGGCGGGGCCGGGTCGTGGCGTCTGAGAGCACAGCAATTGCGAAACGTCATCGAGGGACGATTGAAGAGTTGCTGAGAGCTGTGCTGCCAGGCCAAAGCTTCTTATTCTTAGTTGGGGCTTTGATCTAACCTCTATGGAAAATGGAAATGTATTACAACACGACTTTAGCCGCTTCTCCCCAGAGTTCTTTCTCTTTACAATATTTTCGAGGATTTCTACAGCACACCTGCCGCCTGGTCATATCGCTTATTGCCCATTCCCAAACATTGTTACAAGGGGTTTCTTTCGTTTAGGAGTAAGATTGGAGATAAATAGAGAGAGATTACTTCACCATCATCATCAACAATTAAGAGATTAAAATATGTAATATATATAGAGTTTATAAGTTTGTATAAATTTATAAAAATATGTAAGTTGTTCATATATACTGTGTGTGATAAAAAAAACGGTTAGATTAGAAAACGATTAGTAAATAAATTTGGTTGTCTTTTCCATTTATTGCACTTGATGTGCGATTGCTAATTATGAAAATGATGTAAATGATGATGACAGATTCTAGCGACAAACGGGGTGTCGGTGTCACGGCGTCGCATGGTTAGTGACAGATAGATAGACTTAAGACTTAAGATTACGAAACAAAAATAATCAAATTAAATCTGTGTTTACTATAAGAACACTAAAAGGTGGGGGCAATCAACGGTTAAGTGTAACGCAAAATTATTTTAACAAATATAACACAAGGAGCGGCACTCCCTTGGATGTCAGACGCCAAACTCTTGAAAACATGACAAAGTAAGTTAGAAGGATCCTAAGCTGAATGGATATCCTGTACGAGTAGGCCCTGCAAGTTCTTTGTACTTTGTTAGCTGTCCTTGAATGTGACGCTGTATTTGGGCACAATACAAAAGCAATCGAATACACTGAGCGAACTGATGAGCTGAGTTACTTGGCATAAAAAGGCGTAGATATTGATAGATATATGTTCACATATATAATCATATATTTATATATATATATATATGTGTTTAGAAAAGTATATAATTTATATACAGTCACAGTCACAACATTGAAATAGGGCCAAAAGCTTGGCTTGCCTGATTTATTTACAGCGGCAGCAGAAGGAGCAGCAGCAAAGCTGGCTTAGCTTCAAGTTATATAGCAAATGAAGCAATATAATTATATATATATGTAAGTCGATAGTCATGCCTATCGGAAAATTGAAATCTGACATGTATAAATACTCTTATCAAATATATGAGGGCTAATAAACGTATTTCAGTTACTTTTGTGCAAGCTTTTTTTAACGCAAGGCAATCGCAATCGGCGTAAATTTGTAGCATTTGTTTTTAAAGTATTTGATATATATATGTATATATAAGAGTGTAATACATATATATATATATAGAGGCATTATATAGTACAGCAGGGGCTCATTTTATTTTTACACTATTTTCAGTTTGCTTGGCAGTGAATTTATATTTACAGAGTGCTGTAAATGCCGCACTAAATGTAATTTAATAGTGTAAAAATAATATTCTGATTTGAACGAAACTAAAAATTCAAGACAAACGAAAATCGAATCAAACGAAACGAAATTGCACATAACTCAAGATCGTAATTATAGAAATTATAGAAATCATAGAAACTTAGACGTACGCATAGATAATGTAGGAGAAGAGGAAAATATATATATGTTGATTGATTTCTTATTTATTATTATTTTTGGTTTTTGCTTACGCTGGACAGTTGACATTGACACATACGGATAACGGATACGGTTACGTATATATATATTTATAGTTATTTGATGTTAGGTAAGTAAACACATTTAGGAGAAGGATAGATGACTCAGCTGGTAACTGATTGGACTTACCCGAGCCGCAAAACTGGTGTTGGGCTTTTCTAGCAGCTCCCAGAGATACTTTTGGTACTCCGCGCATTTACCTTCGCCGAACTCCTCCTCGTCCCGCTGTCTCAATGACTCGGCCTCTTTGCGCATCTCCTCGTGAACGTTCTCCTTGCGCTGATGGTACTTGTGCTGGCAACACGACTCCAGATACAGTTCGTCAACGCCCCAATACTCCAGATCATCACTAAACGCAAGCACGCACATTTCATCCACAATGTGCAGTTTCCCGGTACGATAGAAATTCAAAATGGAGCTGAAGCTCTTCGGATGACGATCAAAGAAGTACTCGTTGTCAACCAGCGAGTAATCATCGCACAGCTCTATGATGGACTCATGGGTGGTGCACTCCCTTAGCCTGCCCAGCCGCGTGTGGGGCAGTCGTTCCAATGTGCGCCAGAGCACCTCGTGCTTAACACCGCCCACATTGATGGAGACGCGGCTGTTTATTTGCTTCGACTGTGCTATCATGAACGGCTCCGGCGGCGGTATGGAGGACATGGATCTGGAATGTGTCCGCTGCAGAGCGCCGGTTGTATTGCTATGGCTGATGCCAGCATTTGAGCCGGCACCGGGCGGTAGCATAACAACGCCGACGCCAACGCCGACACCGCCCACACCGCCGCCGAGGCTGCTGCTGGTGGGGCCACCAATGCTGCCACCACCAATGCCGCTGCCGGCTCCACCACCACCACCTCCGCCGCCTGCCCCACCACTGAGTGCCATTTGCTGCTGTTGCTGCTGCTGCTGCGCAAGAGTCTGCTGGGAAGTTGTGGGATTTGAATGCGTTGGTGATGTAACTGGGAATGGAGCGTAACGAACTTCCTTGCCAATGGCCCCGGTGCTGCTACTGCCAGCCCCGCCGCCGCCTGCGATCTGCCCCGCTGTACCGTGCCCGCCTCCACCAGCAGCTCCCAGGCCGAGAGCAGCAGCTGCTGCGTGCGTTGCTGCTGTTGCGGCGGATGGGCCAGTAATGCCGATGCCATCAGCATAATCCATGTGGCGATTGTTGACGACAACAGCGCCGCCGGCAGCAGTTGACCCACTGTTATAAGCACCGCTGCCAGCTGCTGGGACAGTTCCACCGACGCAACCATATGAACTAGCTCCACCGGTTCCCATCGCTCTTTCCCAATCGACATTACCGCTTGTATCGTAATAGGGCTGATTATCGCCGCCGTCGGCTGTTCCCGCAAGTTGCAATCCACGCGCAGCTGTCTCGTGTTGCTGATAAAACAGCTCCTGATGTTGCTGTTGCTGTTGCTGTTTCTGTTGTTGAAGTTTCTGTTGCTGTTGCTTTGACTGTTGTTGTTGCTGACTTTGTTGTTGCTGTTGCTGTTGCTGTTGTTGGCTAGCAGCCTGTCCACCATGCAATTGCCCGACCATTTGTAACACTCCATTATTGTTTTGAAGCGGTGTTGTTTCACCCGTTGCCCAGCGTACCGCCTCACGGTCTCTGTCGCGTTCACCGACCATAAGTCTGCTGCAGATTGCAAATGCCACAAATTAGATAATCGCTTTACAGATAGAATATTTATGCCATTGACCTCTCCACCACTTACCGCTACATCGCGTCGATTGTTGTCATTACAGCCACCTCCGTCGTTCTGCCGTTGTCCTTTTCCACAGTCCTTTCTCTAAGTTGGCTACCTAGTGCCCGTTTCGTTTGGCTACTGCTGCTGCTGCTCTTGTTGTTGCTGCTGCTGTTTGTGCGCAATTGATTTCAATTTACTCTGATATCTGGAGATCTATAAATTCAGCAATTGGGCAGCAGTGAGTGTCTCTAGCTGACTCTGGCTCTGGCACGCTGTTCGCTTTGCATCCGACTGCTTCTTGCTGTGTCTCAGTCTAAGTTGGTGGCAGCTCTCCTTCATGTCTTTGTGTGTGTGGCGTTGTTTTATTTTATGCTGGTTGCTGGTCGTTGTTGTTGTGTTTGTTTCTGTAGGTGTTATTGTTGCGTGTTTAGGCTATGATCACAGTTTATTTCTAGGATTTGGGCTAAATTGGCCTTTGATTCGAACTGCGACTGGCTCAGGCGAAGATTGGCAGCATTTTGTGGGGCTCTAATAAGCAGAGTGTTGGTGTTTTACGAGATATAGCTGCAAGAAAGATAAAATGCGATTGGCAAATAAATTATAATACAGTTACGAGTTGGCTGAAAAGCTTGTTAAATATCTAATGCTGAATTTGCTTAAGTCCCGACAGTATCACGCCCTTGCATTGATATAACATTATTTATTGACAGCTGATAAGATAAGCGATGATGAAAACAACTATGAAATGGACTAGATGGACTGACCGACCGACGATACCCTGAACCATGGCCGATCTGCATTTTTCAATATTTCTCATAGCTTGTATCTAGCCTTATGAAAAAGTAGAAAATTTGACATTATTATACCAGGACTCGCACCAACAACTGCCACACAATGCGCATCACGTCTATCGATACTACCTTCAATGCAATACGGTGACTGGATTTGAACTGAGAGGTCCTCGGTAAACTGAAATAGCACCATTTTTAGCATATGGTCTACATATTCTAATAGAGTATTTGTCAACATAGTAAAAATGGAAATTCCTTCACACATTGGCTCTATTTCCAACCTTAATTTAAAGAATTTGGGGAAATTTGGAGCCGGCAATATAACAAAAATCAAATTTATAAGATTTATATAAAACTAAATGCAAAATTTGTACTCCAGCTCTTAATCCGTACGAGACATAATTTAATAACAGCATTTCGATAATGTTTTTAATCGATAACAATTAAACAGAAATAGTTATCGATTATTTGAAAGTGTCTAAAACTTTTATATGTTTATATGTTATGGTCGCGTTCATGTATACGGACAGATTGACAGACGGACACGGGTAAATCGTCTCGACTTGTCATCCTGATCAAGAATATATTTACTTTATGGGGTCTGCCACGCCTCCTTTTGCCTGTTACATACGTTTTAACAAAACCACTATACCCTGATTTCCCGTTATCAATGGCAAATATAAGTAATAAAGCAACGCGGTTTTTAGAGTATACGTATTGGGGCTGCAGTTCCGATGGCCTGCACTATACCCCAATAACGGACAGCTCCAAATTCATTAAATACGATATCAGTTATGTATACAATACCTAAATGGCATGGGCCTGTAATTAGCTGAAATGTTATCCGATTCTAAATGCTAACAACTTGGCTGTGTGTAGCCTGTTAACCATTTATATACATCGCAAATCCCATAGTGTCTCAGCTACAGTTCTGTGGGAAGGCCAAGTATTAAAAAATAGTTGATATTAAAAAGGGTAACGTGTACGTTTGTTTGTATGCCTTTATCGAAGATTCATATTGGGCCTGGCTCTGCTCCTTAGGGTAAAAATAAAAACGAGTTGCTCTCCTATTTATTATAGTTAATTTGCAAAGGCCAAAAGCTGCGCACAAATTTCCATTTAAATGCCGCCAAACAAACACTCTGTTTACCCACTTTGATGGCTCAACATTTGCCATACACATATCACGCACACACACACATACGCATATATAAACAAATATATATATCTGCAGCAAATACGTGATGGGTTGGAAAGTATGCGCTGACTATTTTGACCTGGGCAAATGCGAATGTTTCAAATTGCATTTGCTTGGCCTTTGCCTAAATCGCAATTTCTGCCGCATTGCAATCTAATTTGAATTTTTATGCCAAACGGAAATGCATTGTAATAAGCGCAAGGGCTGCGTTTTTGCAAATTATGCCCCCTACCTATTGACCATAAAATGTTAATTAAACTGCACACAGTCCCAGATAAAAACCATACCGCAATAGCCTTGGCTGCCTTTTTTTATTAATGGAATAGCTTTTCATTTTAGGACAGCGGGTGGGTTGCAGTTGCAGTTGCAGTTGCAGGTGCAGTTTATCAAACTTGGAGTAAATCTATTTAAGTTATTTGACTTGAACAAGACTAGAACTTGCCTTTAGTTAATGAGTCTGAAATTCAAAAGAGCTCAATCTTTTTGACTTAGATAAAATAGTTTATTTTGTTAAACTTGTTTTTGTGCTGGTCTTAAATATATACGCATATACTAACAAAAATAAAATTATAAATTATTATAAATAATTATAAATTATTATAAATAAATTATACAACTGTCTCCCACTAAGTTCTAATATATTAACATAAGTAATTATTTATTAAACAAAAGTCCTCACTAATACATTAGCCTTTGTATACAATTGGCACGTGATAGATGAAATCCAAACATTGCTTCCCATAATTATGTTTACCTATTAATATGTCAAAGGTATTTTCATAAACACTTCACTTTCCGTTTATATTTCGTATTAGATGAAATTTCAATGCTGTAAGTGTTAGGGTATTTCATTGGCCTGTACTAAAAATATGAAAAATGGCATGTTTTGATCGCTGAGTGTTTTATTCAGTGATGCCCAAGGCGCCTGTCACATTTCTGACTATTCCATTTGAATTTGGCGTGCAAGGACGAAATTATTGTTATATATATAGCCCATTTACGTACGAGTGTATGCTAAATTATATGGTTTTGCTTGAATTTAGTCCGGTTAAATTGTTATTTATTAGACGGGGTCGCTTATTACGAATGGTAATGGCAAAGCGCGCGCATTTTTTGACAATATTGTTGGCGTTTTAGCATTTAGATTGTTGTTTGAGTCGCGTGCTCTGCATTCAACTTTATGCAATTATTTGTGGCACAAAATGAAAATAAGTTGCATGCAAAGCGTAAAGTATTCCATCGTGTTGCCATATGCAACACGTTTGCTTGCCACTCGACAGCGTGTGCTCGGGTCTGTGTGTGTCAAGTGGGCAACATCACCTTGATACCTGTTGAATTACCTTGACGTCTGACACCAGACTAAAAGTTAAATTGCAATTAATTCCGTGCTGTAATAATGATAGTCAGGGCTTCATTTGCTGCACGTTGTATAATTTCATTTGACAGCCCCGTTCTTGTCGTAAAGTGTGAGAAAATATCGTCGGAATTTATGACAGTACACACACATAGGGATCACACAGTGTACCCCATAAATCTTAGACATAATTTGCCTACACGTATGCACAATTACAAAATGAACACTTAATTGGCCATAAATAGTTTGATAACGCCCGAGGGGGTCTTCTGCTGTGCATATGTCTATGTGTGTACGGAGAGCGTCTCAGGTTACGGTCAGGGTCATTTCTTGAATACATCCCTAATGGAGCTGTGCTGTGCGAACAACAGCAACAACATGGACAGCTATTAAAAATTAGCTTACTAGCCATTTAACGCTTAGCCAACGTTGGATGACATAGCTGAAAATTGTTGCGAGCGGGGGTGTTGTGATTAATGATTTCTTTGACTTGGACACTAATTGAAAATGGAGAAGCACACACCCGCCCACCCAAGCACCCATACGAAGAAAAGTAATTAGCCAATAGATGAAATAGAAGAGTCCTAACAACTTGTTTTATTATGCATAAATATATAAAAGTTGGTTGCTACAGTTTCTGAAGAAAATCGTACTCATCGAATGTGTGAGGATACCCAATAAAATGAAAGAGTCTCAAATTAATATTTGTATTTATCAAATATATAACTCTTTGCTGAAGTCTAATTAAATATAATTCTTACAAGCTATCACAGTCAAGTCTATCTAAGACATAGCTACTCCAATCTAATTTAAAGAATTCCATTTATAAGCTTAAAAGTCGCATCAATTTGAGTGCACATAATGAGAAATTGTAAATGGCTCAAGTGCCAAAATTCTACTTAGAGTTTGCATAACTGATGGGCGCCACCATTGCCTTCCGCTGTAAAAACAATGGCAACAACAGCTGAAACAACAAATGCAATGCAAATATGCAGCAGTTGGAATGGAATGGAAAAGCGTGTCAGTGTTGTTCGGCAAATAGAAAACATTTATTGCTGACTTTTAAGGGCCGCCATTGTCGACGTTGACTAAATTTATGGTCGCCATTTTGTTGTTAGCCTGTTTGGCCCGTGCGGCAAGCAAGTATTTCGAGTCAAGTGCATTTATATATTAAAGTGTTGGGCCACTGTTGTTGTTGTTGTTGTATTGGTCTTGGCTGCAAATGCGTCAGCACTAACCTCAACACTTAAGCCGGTGCTGCTGGTCATGTGCCTTGTTGTGCCTTCAACACACGCCCAGCTCAACTAGCCCCTTATAGCACCCAGCCATTTCCGGTCTCAGTCCACATCCGACGGCGACGCCGACGCTGCCTTCGCAATTTCTACAGTGGTTGGCGCTGACCCTTGGCTGCTCTAATTTCGTTAGCGGCCACGAACAGAACTCAAACAAATTTAGAAAGTCACACACACACCTACACGCATTCACACACACACACACACTTTGAACGTTTTTGCACACTTTCCATTTTCACAAAAAGAAAAGAAAATTGAAGCAAGCAACTCCACTTTTAATTCGGCTTTTGTTTTGGTTTTTGCGTGCGAGCCCGACTTATTGGCCATTGGCATGCAAGCATCTTGACCAACTTGGGGCCAACTTGGCCTTGGCTAATGGGCGTACTTTGTAGACTAGTGTGGTGTGTGTGAGCGTGGGTTTATTGATGGTGTCTGCTAAGTGTGAGCTTTATGCTCGCTTTCTCTCGCTTGCTACGCTTTGCTCTCTGCCTTTCGTTGTGTCTCACACATTTGTGCTACGCAATTGTTGCACTCGGCAACTGTATCATATTTTACAAGGCTCCTCTGCGTGTTCAGCCTTTTATTGAGTTACTCAGCGGCTTTTGCGGTTTTACGAGTCCCCTGCCGCATGCCAGCGCCATGGCGTCATCCCTATGAGCAACAATCGCTTCCATTGACGACTCTTTGCCGAATGCATAGCAGAAACAAGTACAAGACTGAAAGTTCCAAGCATACCTTATTTATCTAGTATATATCACCAAATAATTCCACCCAGCTATATAATATAATATAATTATATATATAATATAATTAACATGGATAATTCAATACAGGCAAAAACGCAAAAAATTTTTAATGAAAAATACAATTGTGGAATCTTATATCACTTAAGACTTAATATATAATAAAGCTAATATCTTTGCGGATAA